CGTCTTTCTAGAGGCCAGTGGAGAGAAGAAGGCGTCACTGAACCTTCACTGCGCCACAGCGCCCCCTTTACAACTTTTTGCCGCAAATCTGGTACACGGTTGTTCGTCGCAGACCACAGTACCCTCCTGACGCCATATTTTCATTCCGCTGATCGCGGATGGTGCCTTCAAAAACTAGCCCACCACCAACTGAGCTAACAATGCTTTTTCGAGCCCTACTTATCAGAATCCACATCAATTTTATTCAGTCGCTGCAAATTATTCGTTATCTGGTAATTTCTAATCCTTGTGATGTCGAACTCCAGTCGGCAATATGCTTCACTATGAGATTTCCGGCTACAACATGTATGATTGCATTCGCAGCGCTACAGGTAGTTTCAGTATTACGCGACTTTTGCCTAAGCTTTCTGTAGAGTATTCAGTTAAGGTAGCCATGGTCATCGAAAGAGCTATTGCGATATGGAATAGCGCTCATTATCACTCATGGAGCTCACGAATCGGTTTTACTTTCATATCTGCTTCGGTACCTTTTTTCAAGAACTTTGAAGTGAACTGTGGTTTGTGAATGTGGATGCCAGCACAATAGAGTCAGTACAGTACAGTGTTGTATCGAGTGGTCTTATCTTCGCACTGGATGGAGGTGATTTTTGAGAGGGTAACGACCGCCTGCCGCTCCATTAACGTTTTCTAGTGCGACTCGCCCTTTATTATGTACGTGTTATATATACGACTTTGCATGCAGCTATCTGTTGCCAAACTACGGTGCATACCTGAGGCGGGCCACCTCATCGGGTGCAATGGCGGTGTCAGTGAAGCCTCTAAGGCAGCGTTCAGACTTCGCGACGGCAGCGCTTCAGTCGCGCGTTCGACGCGATCGATGCAGTTGAAAGCATGCGCATCGATCGCGTCGAACGCGCCGACGACTTTTTCTCACTACGCCACGTGGGCTACACAACCGTATTTTTCCACGTCGTCGAATTCTCGATATGCACCACTTTGACCATAGGGACAGCAAAACTCATACGAATTCAAGCAGATGAAAACTCCATGACGGGGAATTGAATTTCCCTGTCCTCCAACACTCAAACCCAGATGGTAAGGCTGTGCAATCCGCGCTGGTGGGCGTGGCGAGCGTGGCTGCTCGTAAGGACCATCAGAGCGGCATACATATTCTGCTGTCACATGCCCATATACAGTCGTGATCCCTCAGACTGGCCATCCGTAATTGCGTACTTCACTGGGACGCGACGGCGGCTGCAGTAGGAGTGGCGATCGATGCTGCATGATCACCTGATTTCAGCGATTAATTTTTCTATTTTGCCTGTTATTCTGCTAACTAGAAGGAAAAGTGAGTTCATATTATTTACTCTAATTTGAGGTTTTATTGTATATTTTGCTTTCAGTCGCTATTTGACTGCAGTGACGGTGTTTTTACCCACTTTTTGATTTTGTTTAGGTTTTTTTGTTTGTGCTTTGAATGTTGGACTGTTCTCCATGGCAGTGTCGTTATGTGTCCTCATTAGTACAAAAAAACCTAAACAAAATCAAAAAGTGGGTAAAAACACCGTCACTGCAGTCAAATAGCGACTGAAAGCAAAATACAATAAAACCTCAAATTAGAGTAAATAATATGAACTCACTTTTCCTTCTAGTTAGCAGAATAACAGGCAAAATAGAAAAATTAATCGCTGAAATCAGGTGATCATGCAGCATCGATCGCCACTCCTACTGCAGCCGCCGTCGCGTCCCAGTGAAGTACGCAATTACGGATGGCCAGTCTGAGGGATCACGACTGTACCTACAACGCCACCTACTTATCACCTTACCATCTAGAAATCTACCGATCTCAAACTCTTTTATCGCTGAAAATGCTTTTCGGTAGCCACTTTCTTTACTCAAAAAGTGGTAGTTGGTTTATGTACGTTCTTAAGAAGGACATAGCGCGCGATGAAACACAAAAAACCAGCAAGACAGGAAACTTCCCCTCCCTGCTCGTGTACTTTCTCCAAAGTTCGGGATACCCTCACATATGCGACCCTAATTATAGTTCTGTCACGATAGCTGTGCCCCCATCTCTTGGCAGATCGGGGTGTGCGGCGGTTTCTGTGTATTCCTAAATGTAGAAAGTTATTAGTGCGACTCTCCATCTCTTTATATACACTACGACCCCCCCTTGAAGGCAGTCGTCCAAAATTTTTCAATGCGGCCACTCCCTTAGTGGATGAGAAATCGCGGAATTCGTATTGGGACGGTACGAACCTTTGGAGTTTTGAGGGGTCTATGCCCTCACTAAACTTCTTCTGCAAACGCATTCAGTAGTTTCACTTACTTCCCGCATTTGGGGTTTTTCTTCACGGGTTTTTTGAGGATTTTGCGCCTCGGCACGTTACTTCGGCGACGCACTCTGTCAAGGGTGTGCCGTTGATGAGTCTTTCGTGCCAAAGCTTGCCTAATTGTGTTGCCCACTTTACCGCTCTCGGGGCTTTGAAACCGAACTGGAATTTTTGAAAGTCTGGTAGCAAGCAACGCCCTGCCCAAAGTGGGTTTGTCTCACCCACCTTGTCCGCCACAACGATTGGCTATCGTTTGCGATATTTTTCGCTCTTGGGCCCTTTTGGAACCAAACCCCTATCGAATTTTTTGCAATTTTGTAGCTAACCACGTGCGCAGGCCCGCCACAGTGGCGGGCCTAGCTAGTTCGTGTGTGTTCCGTAAGTTTGAGCATGCCCTACCCCACAACTTGACCCGCCCCTCCAACTGGCTTTTTCCAGCTGCTGTTGTTGTCCGAATTTCCGGACAGACAGACACAGACAGACAGACAGACAGACAGACAGACAGACAGACAGACAGACGTTGCCGTTTATATATAGTAGGATGTTTCCGGACACCCCTCTGCCGACATATAAACCGTTCGGACTCTCCCCCCCCTAACAAGAAGCTTAATCTCTATTCATCATCCTCTCTACTCGCTCGAATCTATTTCTAGTCAGCCCACCATTAAGCCCGTTTTCATGTGTGACAAACGACACTACCTCCCAATATATCATCTTTACCTTGCTAAATGAATAACTTTATAGGTAATTCTTTCGATAGCAGCTACTGCGTGGGCGACGAAGTGTGAGGATTTCTCACAAAAGTATGCGTATTGCTCGGCTGCGACCCCAAGCACTACACACCGCATACAGCTTCTCTGTATTGCTCTCAGCGCCGTTAATGTTTCAACAATTGCTGGCATTGCTGCTCTTTTTGCATTCAATAGCATTGCCACAAAAAGGTAATCACAGTTTTCTCATACGTTTTAGGTGTGATCTTCAAGTAGAACTGCTTTGGTGTAGTTCGGGGGCACAATGGTTCTCAGCAAGGCCTTCAGCAGGTCTCTCTGTGAAGCACTGTGAATTGCTGTAACTGAAGCAGCTCACTTGTACATACCGTTTTGCAAGTTCACGAACCGTTTTGCAAGTTCACGACAGTTTACTTATCTAATCTTGACGAGAGCTGTTACATATTGAAACTAGCAGAAGGAGCTTGCGCAAAATGCCCCTCCCCTAGTATTAGGTCATCTCATTCAAAAGTGCCGTCGGTTTTATTCGAATAAAAAAAGAGGAGAATAGATAAAAAAGTAATATTTTGGCTTCAAGTTGAGTAAATCCCTCCTTCACCAATGACCCGCTCCCAGTGCCCCGAAAGCCTTTGGACCTCTGGTACCTTCGATTTTTCAACAAGTGCGAGTAAATTGCTGTTGATGCCAATTTCGGCGAATGACAAAACATTGTAGCGTTTGCCGTCGGAGAGTACCTCTCGACTGACCAGAACAGTTGGAATCGAACGGCTTTATGTTGGGCGAATGGGGCGATTGAACCCAGGTCTCAGTATTGTTTGTGTCCCAGCACTGCCCTACAATACAGTTACTCGGGGTCTGGCACTATGACGAGCAACGGTGGCCTTCTTGTAGTTGTGTGGTATCATCCATTTGTCGATCTGATTGCCGAGGAATCAGGCAATATACACCGACAGCGACGATTTTATTCTCTGTATAGAGCCGCCTGAAAGCCACAGTGTAGGAATCCTTCGCTATGATAGTCATCCCTTGTGCCCACGTAACTCCTCATGGTAGAACTCGGGCGGCTTCTCATCTGCATTCATACAAAATTGACGATTGTGAGTTTTGGCTCGAGGTCCAAGACCACCCATATTTCATCTAGGGCCGGGGTGCGTTTTCACAGTCGTGAGTGACATCTCATGCTGAGAACATTACTGCTAGAGGTATAGAATCGGTACTGCGTTCGTGCTTCTACAAGAAAATTAGGTACCCATGCGCACACCCTCTTGACCATCCTCAGTTTATCGGACATAACTCGGGCAGCAGTTGCAGCTGGGATGTCAGACTCGCGGGGAAGCTCGACAAAGGTCCAGGCTCTGGATCAGACATTCAGCGCTTGACTTCATCCACCTTTTTTCTTGTGCAGGATGAACATTATGGGACCATCCACGACAACAGCCTTTCTTCCTTTGTGGGCTCAACCTTCCACCTTGTATATGGAGAACACCATTACACACAACTACTGGTCCAGCGCCGGTCGAATTTGAGCAGCGCACTTCCCTCTTATGACGTCTGATTTGAAAATCGGGCGCTGATTTTCACCACTCGGGCTTCTTTTCAATTTCTCGAGAACTTCTTCTGTGGGTAGGTTCGCCAAATTTCACAGATACACAGCTAAAGGTACTAGCCTCCAAATGGTATAGTAGCCCGCTTCCCTATCCCCTTTGCTTTTCTGCCATTCCTCTCTATATGTCTCGGCACTTTTGAATGGGATGACCTAATAAATCGAACAGCGCCCCTGACTTTTGATTGGTACTATACTGTTTACTTGTAGCTCCACGCGTCATTTTTATTCCACGCGCTCAATGGTGAGCTCGAAAACATTTAAATACTATTCATAAATGACAGTGAATAGTTCTTTCTACACATATGTACGCCCACTTCCATCCCTTTGTTGTTACTATTTACTATGCTTTTCAATTTTGAACCGATTATTGGTTCTGTTTTTCATTCACTAGTTCGGTCATCCATCGCGCCTATGTGAAACTCTCGAGTTTTAGCAGGATACAATGCAGTGTCCGGAGAATTCCAAGTTAGTCCTTAGAAGGTAGAAAGGGATGACAGGAAAACGAGGAAGGCACAAATAGAGGACGACTCCGCCCCTACTAAGAACGTGGACTGCACCTTCAGGGTAGCGCTTTCAACGGAGTAGCACTGGAAAAGAAGTTATAGGGCACTCAGAGGACAAAATGCTTGTATGCTCACATACGAATGATGCCTCTTTCAGGAAGACTTTCGACTTACGACTATCATATCAGCTTCATGAAAACTCTGCAGTCATTAAGCTTATTCTACCTTTAACACTTTTTCAAACGATCACGTATGGGATCTTCTCTGCGAGCAGTGCGATTGTCACAATGTTCCGAGAAAGCCTCTCGTATGTCGCCTATCGTACTATGTTCGCTTCAGCCTATGTAGGTTTCGCTTTTCTTTTCCCATTTCGGAAGCTTACTCGTTGACCGGCG